ATGTGTTCACCACATGGACCAGTTGGAGCCTGCCACGTGTCAAGCGTTGATTAGTCCACCTTGGACCAATCATGTCACGCCACGTGGCCTGATTATACGCCAGCAAGGAAAATGACCATCTAGGCCCACTTCCCGAGAGCAGCCTAGTCAGATCTAGGGTTTGCCAAAAACCCTAGAATTAAGCACGCTTCCCAAGGATATAAATACATTAATTAATCCTCATTAAAGGGGGATTTTTGAGCAATAATTACTCTCACCTAGAGAAGCCTAAACACATTGATCACTCCTCTCCTTGAGGAACCAGATCTCCCACCTTTACTTTTCCGCACTTATTTACTCCTCAAACAAGTACTAACTTGATCGTCGGAGGCGGAACTCCCACCACCTGAAGTCTCCGTTGTTTTGCAGGTAAAGGCGCAAGGATACTAATCCCGGAATTGTAAATTTCCCGCGGGACACCAGTAAACCTCGAAACAGGTATTGTACAACCATTCTACAAGAGAGAGCCATAGACACCAAGATTTTGGTTCATCTCAACACATACACCTTAGATAACACTCTACGCACCTATTCACTATTTCAGTTTGCCAATCTGTCCGAGGATTATAGGCAAAAGATAATCTGAACTCTGTCCCATGTTAAGAGAATAAATTCTTCTAGAAATTACTCAAGAATATAGAATCTCTATCACTCACAATGCTTCATGGCCGCCAGCCATATAGAATCTCTATCACCTCCCTTCATAAGTATACATGATTATTTTTTATTTTAACTGTTTAAAACATGTTCGTTTAGTATAAAAATCATGTTTTATAGGTTTTAATTTTGGAAAAATTGCCCAAAATAATCCGGCTTTTGCCTCATGCCCCCAAAATAATCTCACCTTTTGATTATTTTCTAATAATTTGACCTTCATACCCAATCCGCTGAATATGGTCCCAAGTGACTTGTAACTGATTGAATATGTAATTTTTATTTTATTAAGTTTAATTTACACGTGTCACCACGTGATTAGTCCAAAAAAAGTTTTAATTTAAATTTTTTTTTAGGAAATGATTATTAGTAATGGAAAAAGATAAATACAGCCCTTAGGGTTGCATATAAGAAGCTAAAAGTGGAAAGAATATACAATAAATAAACAGTTATTACAACGATTTACTCGTGAATTGTCAATAAATTCTCAACTTAATACTAAAAAAGGAAGTAAATTAAATGCTTATATGCAGCTCTAAGGGTTGTATATAGAATTACCCATTAGTAATTTTAATTAATTAACTTTTTTCTCAAAAAAAATTAAACTAGACCCTAGCCCCACCGCAAGTCCGCAACCCCAGCCACCTCCCTGCCCCTACCATCGGCCAAGACAAAGCCCAAAGCCGCCAGCCCCACCACGAACATATCCATCGCGTCATTTGCCGACCTTCCCTTACCCCCCTTCCGTCGCCATTAAATAAACCAACACAACCATTACCGAAATCAAGGTGTGGGAAGGGGAGGGGGGCCGAAATCGAGGTGTGGGAAGGGGATGGGGGCCAAAATCAAGGCGTAGGGAAGGGGAGGGGCCAAAAAAGGAACAGGGGAAGGGGAAGGGCCGAAAAACGTGGCAGGGGAAGTATAGGTGAGATGTCGGGATTGGGACAAGAAAGGGATTTTTCAAGGGTGGTTGGTGGTTAAGAGGTAAGGGGGTCGGTCGCGTTGTCGGCGCCGGTGCTAGGGTTAGGGGTCTAGTTAGTTGAAACCGTAGGGCAGGGGAGTCAGGTGGTGGGGATTGGGGAGTATGGATTAGCTTGGTAGCCGGTGGGGTGGTTTTAAAATAATTAATCGTTGTTTCATTTTTTTTCTTTACAAATATTTAACTTTTTTGATATTTTTTATTATATCTTTATTTTTTCGGACCAATCATAGGCCGCCATGTGTCTATAAAAATTACATGACTGGTTGGGACCATTTTGAACGAATTAGGTATAAAGGTCGGATTATTAGAAAATAATCAAAATGTGGGATTATTTTGAGCGGATGAGGCAAGGTTGGATTATTTTGGCAATTTTTCCTTTAATTTTTAGATTATTATAATGAGTATTATTTTCAGATTTTGATATGATTAAAGTTAGAATTTTTAATTTATTTAAGACATGATTAGGGTTCTAGTATAAATTAATTTGGGGCTTTTATATACTCATTGATTTTAAGTATTAATCAAGCATAATGATGGAGTTTTAATAAGTTTAAGGGGTTTTTAATCACGTAATATTGGTGGAATTTTATTTAAAGTAGTGTGATTTTATTTAAAGGGTTTAATAACCCATTATTAGAAGAGAGATTAATTAGGGGATTTTAAAATAATTTTCAAATTATTATAAGTTATTTAAAGTGAGTTTAAGTTGTTGGAAATTGTATATATAAGGGTAAAACAAATATTTCAAAGGAAGGAAATTTCTAATGTGTTACAGCGGCTCCCTACCTTTTGTCCTTTATCGTATAATGTCAAATGTCACTCCTTATAACTGCTAAGAATATTCAACACATGCTTAAATAGGCGCGTTTTAATTGATGCCTACAATAGGATTAACAAATGCCACTTTAAACCTTTTCTTTTAGCAATAGTAACTTATCAGAACACTGCCCTTGCTCAATTTGTAAACACTCCATTCCCCGAGCCATATATCTGTCCACAACTTGTATTAAACACAATTCCATTTGTTTACTTGGCATGGCCTCCTCAATAACTTTCACTTTCTTCGGTGGAATACCATGTAAAGTGAAAAGTGGTTCCCATCCAAAACAAAGTCCATATACAACTTCTTGAAATCCTAAGTAATCTGCCTTAGAGTACTCAACCATTGGATTCCAAGTACCATGTGATCACAACTTTGTAATGCGATCAACATTACTTCTGCTGAAAACTCAACTTTATTCATGACCCATTTAAGCTCTCTACACTTATAATAACATACTAGATGATTACCATCTGTTATTGTCATACTTAAGAGTCTATTTCTTCCAGTTGACAACCTAACTTCTTAGCTACTTCCAAGTCAAGAAAATTATGAGTAGTTCCTAATTCAATCAAAATATGTAAGGGTGTTCCTCCTACCATCCCCACTAATCTCATGGTATGAAAGTTTTGATTACCAGAAAGTGCATTCACAGAAATACAAGGCTCAGCTCCCTGTATAGCATCAACTTCTTCCAACTCTATCAGCTCATTGCTCTTATCACTCCCAAGAAACTCTGATCTATTGTAAACAATTATGTTTCTTTAAACTGACACTTATGGTTTCTCTCATAAGGTTGATCACAGTAGTAACAAAGACCCTTAGCAATCTTTTTTGCTCTAACATCTACTGGGATATATTTATATGGTCTGTAATTCTTTTGTTGAGAGGTTTTAGAAATAGATGGAATTCATAGAAGTTGAATTAGACACTTTGTTTGATGCTATTACCGATTGATATGAATTCCCATGTTTTTCTGACTATGCATATAAGCTGTCTTCCTATAACTACATACAGAAGAACTTTGGCTTAAAGACTCTTCTTGTAACCTAGCAAAATCAAATGCCTAAGAAATGGTTGCAGGTTTGAAAGCTTTTACAAATGGCTTAACATAGGGTTTAAGGACAATTGTAAAGCTATCAAGAACATATTTATCAGGTAACACATGACTACCCAACAACATATATCTATCTTGCGCTTTCAAAAATATCTATGCAATCCTTCAATGAACCATCTTGCTGCAAAATATCAAATTGTTCAACAATATTCCAGTTATTTTCTTTAAATCTAGACTGGCCTTAAGAAGTTAAGATCGGTCACAAAATCATTCCAATCAATCACCAAAGCTCTCCTAATAGACAAGTAATTCATCATTACCCAAGTTTTAGCTTTGTCTACCATGGTTGGTGAGAATAAATGAACCCATTGCTCAATAAGAATTTTACACAAGCTTAAAACTTGAAACACTTCTTAACCCATATTGATGCATTACTACCATCAATATAGGAAACTCGATTTTAGGATTCACACCTAAAAGCCTGTTGGAATTGCTTATATCCGAAACTAGGGTTGATATTGAATTTTTGGATGAAGATGAACTGGGACTTTCCCTTGAGTTGAGACTTTTTGCATTGTTCTTGTTTTGCAACAATTTGATTAGTTCATCGAATTTCTCATCAATTTTCCCAAATTTAACATCCATTTTCTTAGAAATTTATGCATTCCACTATTCTTTAGTGCTCATTCGATTCTCTAAGGTCTTAATCTATTTCTCAATATCTCCTCTCCACTTAGGAATTGGCGCTGGAATTCAAGATTGGTTGATTTTCTGATTAAGCTATTTCAAGACATGGGTTCATATGCAAGATTGAATTAAATTTCTTTAAATTCTATTATTTTTGCTCTGATACCAATAATGCATTATCACTGCTAATCTCTTCATATTTGATCAGAAATTGATCAAGAAGATGATAAAATGTAGAAGAAGAATAGAGAAATAGAAGAAGAAGAGAGAGAAAGAGAGAGAAGGAAGAGGAATTTTACTTCCTCCGTTCTTTTTATATTACATCATAGGGGTTTTAGAGGCAAAATTTGGTAATGGGAAAAAGTAAGAAAGAGAAGCGTAAAAATACAAAATTGTCCATGTAATGTAAAGATAAAATAAAAAGTAAGTGTGAAAAAGTAAGGGTATGTTGGGTATTTGCAGTGTGAACCTAGGTATTTTTTGTCCTAAAAAGAAAGTGATGCAATATTAAAAGAACGGAGGAAGTATTAATTTTCTAAATGAATTTACAATTGTTGTACAATGATGTCTTATAGCTAACAAAGTACATCTTAACAGAAAATGCTAACTAATTCCTAATAGAATCCAATTATTCTAACTAACTTGGCCAACTCAACATTACAACGTGGCATAGTTAGTTAACCACATCAGGCGGTTCAAAAGAACCAGAAATCCGGGTCGTATGGCCGGGATGATCAACCTTTGAAGTTTGAAGGAATTTAGCTTTTCACGGGTAAAGGCGTAGTATTCTTGATTAAGATTTTCCAAAACTAACACCGGTTTTCCTTCTTTTTCGAGTTTCAATGCTCTCGGGTCTTGACATTCCAGTGCTTTTCTCATACTTTAATTCCAATGCCTGTTTTAAGTTGCAAACAGAGAAAGTTAAAAAGGTCATTCTCTTTAATACAAGTATTTTTCTTTTTTAAAAACAAATATTGGACCTTATGCCAATTTGCACAAAGTAGAGGTTACGGAGTAATATGTATATATGTGATATAACTTCTCTCGTAAGTTGCTTTATCTCCTAAAGCTAAACTCATAATTTAAGTTCACAAAAGGTTCTATGCTTACCTTATTTTTCCAAAATATTGCAACAAAAGTGCATCAACATATAATTTAAAACAATGATAAATGTTGGAAGTTGAAAACATAAGCAAACAAAATCCCACAAAAATCTAATCTACTTAACAATATGACACTTGAGATAAATAAAAGACTTTTATCATTATATGAGCTGCACAAATAAACCTGCAAAACCAATGCCAGCTTCTAGTAGTCCCAAAGTTTTTTTAGTCCATAATCCTTTTATTATATCATACTTGAAATGGATTTTATTACCCGTTACAGTTCATCAATCATGATACTGGCAAGCATCAATTATCAACTCTCAAATATATACTGTACCTACTGAATGTTAAAGTTAAATAGTGATGAACAAGCAAAACATGTAAATCCCTTCTTTCAGCAATCCAATGATAAGGCTAAATATCTACATAATATCCCTAGACAACTTATTGGATTCATTTCACTACTAAACTCATCTATAAGCTAAGGCTTATTTTCAGTCATAAAAAAAAAATATAGTTGAAAATTGTAGTAAAAAAGAAGATTTTTTTTTAAAAAAAAAAAATAAAAAAAAAATTAGAACTCTACAAGTCCACCAAGATGAAGGAAAACCAATTGACTCCAAAATCAATCATTTGAAAAGCCTCTGATAACCATGTTACCTGTAACCCATCACGTATGGTGTCAAGTTCTTCATCTGTCATTCTCTCAAAGAAGAGGATGCCCTGAAAATTTGTTAGAAAGAATGTAAGATGCAAGCTATAGAGAATACACTAGCATTTCAAAACAAAATTAAAACTCATACATCCTCAGTTCTAGAATAATTGCAAAAGTTAAGACATCTTCAATAGTCATATACCAACTTTAAGGTATACAGCCAAACAAATTTTTGATTCAAAAATGTGATAAAAGAAGCAGTAGGGATAATTTTGTGAGTTTTGTCTTAATCCTATGACAAGTTAAAAAGTTAGTAGAGATAAATAAAAAGGTAGTGAATTATATCAAACAAGACAAAACGAAATACTCAAATGGTATTAGTGTGAAAGCATGAATGTTGATCTTGAAAACATATATCAGGAAAGAAAAAAGGGTTATCAAGCTGCTCACAAGGTCAGCAGCAAAAAGAGAAAAGCCAGTGGTGGTGAGCGCTCAAGGTATAAAGTGAATGATATGGGATGAGATTAGGCTCAAAGAATGAATTTCCAGAAAATAACATGACGGTCCATAGTTTTTATAAGCTTGTCAGGATTTGCATGGTGAAAAGCATATAAAAGAGGATAATATGAAAAGAGTAGCTTGAATATTAATAGAAGTATTAAAAAGAAGAGGATTAAATTAGGTGATGTTTGTTCAAAGTATGATGAATTTAGAAACTTGGATGTCAATACAACAACAACAACAACAACAAAGCCTTAGTCCCATAATGATTTGGGGTCGGCTAACATGAATCATCATAAGGAATCGAACGATAAAAAGAAACTTGGATGTCAATATTGACAAAAAATAGATTATTATCAAAGAACAAACAATTTAAGATTCTTAACGTTAGGTTATCAACATAGTAAATTTCATATATGCTTATCGCTTCAAATGAGTGACACAACTTTGGGACTCTGTGACAAGTTTTACATAAAAAAAAAAAAAAAAAAAAAGCTACAACACTTGGAAAATTTAAAGATTCCCATCATGATAAACAATACATGACAACAGGGAATGGCACTCTTGTTCCACAAAATCATACTTGACATAATATGCTCATCCACTTCAATAGACGCCAGGATTACTAATCCAAATTCCTAAACAAGTTTTATTTTGATTTTTAATAATATTACATAACTTCATAAGTTAGAAGATTTACTTTGGTCAATCCAGCAGTGATGTGCCTCAACACCCACCCACCCCCCACCCCTCAAAAAAAAAAAAAAAGCAATAACAGATATCGTGGACTACCTGCAAATGGTCAAACTCATGTTGGAATACACGAGCAGGTAGGCTGGACAAAGTAACTGTGAATCTTGAACCATTAATATCCTTGGAATTAATCTTGACAGATTCTGGTCTCTGCAACAAAGATCATAGACAGTAGCATGTTAGACCAACCTCAACAAAGTTGATAACAGAAAAAACAACCAAAGTACTACAGTTGAAAGCATGTAAAGACAGATGTATTTCATTCAATGGTCAATCTGGTTGCTTCACCAAGGAGTCTTGCATTTATGACTTTGCAGTTTGCACAACCCAACCTGAAAATAAAGAAGAATCAGGATAATGTCATTACTGGAGAGGCTAAATAAATATGTGGTACATTACACTTACAATATTACTATCGGAACATACGGGTGTAAAAGAACAAGTAATCATGCGGTCGTGGCAGTTTAAGCTCAGGTTAATGGATATTCTAATTTCCTATGGAGATACAAATAGTGCATCAGTAAAGTTATATCATTGTTGTGTTCAAAGACAATCATAAGAACCTTAGTAATAGGGAATTAATCTTAGTTCACAAAATGTCTCTCTTGGTTGAAGTGAATTTATTTTCTACTGATCTGCTAAATAGGTATATAACTCCTGAAGGACAAGGGACAAAAACTGTGAACCATGCCTTAAGTGTCTCTGTCATGCAACTTGATAAATAAGAAGAGGAAACAGAAAGCACATAGGAGACGAACGAAAATCATTGATGGTGAAAACTAAGAAAAAACATGTTTGGCATCAGTTTTTTAAATTCATCAAAAGAGCAGATGGCTGAAGAGTGAGAACTAGAAGATTCAATATAGATGTTCGTGTGTTCGACAGCCCATCCCTTCCATTTACAATTCCCAACCACCAAATTCTTACCCCAGCATAGAAAATGAGTTTTGAGCAATGGATATGCATATGTAATTCCAAGACAGTTTGTAATGTTAATTCTACAGAACTTGAGGATAACAGCTATCCAGCACAAAACATGCACTGCACATGAATTATGGTGCATAATAATTTGAACAAGCCAATATTTATTGCTCCATTGCATATAGCTCCAGAAGTAATCATATTGGCACATTTCCAAAGTCCATTTAGATTCACATTACCTCTTTAATTAGCACCCAAGCTCACTAACTATAGTTGAGATTACCTTCAGCAGATAAACTTCACTAAAGCCTTAGTTTCTTCCATATATTCTGTTCAGTATTTATCAATTAACTCATGCCTTTAGAAATTTCAGTTTCCTGCAAGATTACTAATTCATGTCCAAGTTTCTAACAGACATATCAAGCCACGGAGGTCAAGCAGCCACACTCAAATGCGCAACCCTCCGGACCAAACATGAGTTAAGTTTCTCATATTCTCATGGTTGGAAGAGCTTTATAATTGTGGGAGCCTATGGGCCTAAAGTCACCATCCCTGACCGTCAACGTAGCCCAAGACCAAAAACTCGGTATGGGATGTGCTAGGACCCACATTTACCTAGATAGTAGAAAGAGAGGGAGGTGCGGAAGAAGGGTATTAACTAGCTCAATGTTATTTAGCATAGTTTTGCACATTCATATAGGTGCCTAAACAACTACACCCCACCCATTCAGTTTATGTCATCGTGGTAAATTATTGATGAAAAAACATAGTATGTGGTATGCCAAAGAAGAAACAATATTCACTACTATTGTAAAACTTTTCACACCACAATTGTTCAAGCCAGCCTGGCATTCCAGCCGCAAAAAATTATACTTCACAATACTTCTTTTAATTTTTCAACATATATTAAAGGAGCTTGAAAGCGATTAACAACTCTAGACGTGACCTCACGGGCAATTGTAATCGGTTAATAGAACAACAGTTGCTACATCTTTCACTGGAAATAATGTAAGTCACAAATGCATTAACTAGCATGTAGCACGAGAGCTTTCATCATCTGGGTAGAAAAAAAGTACCTGTACATCAGCATATAATCCAGGAAATGATAGACAGCCTTCATTAAAAAGCGTTTTCTTTAGCGAGTACTGGCTCACACTTGGATTTACAAGAACAATTTCTTCTCCCTCACCACGCTCACCAACAGGGTTAAACACCATAAGCTGGACGTTAATGCCTACTTGAGGAGCAGAGAGTTCAATCCCATCAGTTCTGCGGAAAAGGAAGCCAACAAGTATTGTTCACAACCCTGTAAATAAAAGTCATAATCTAGAAAAATTATTGCTTACCACCTAACAGAAATATTTTGTAAGTAATATCACAAGTCAACATACAGCAAATAGCATCTCTCTATTTGCCATAAAACTATAATTCCAATATTCCATCTATAAAATATAAATAACAAAATTTCACCACTTCCCACCCCCACCCCTCAAATGATCCTCCCTTTGCTTTAGTATTTCAGTTCAAGATGAGACGTTACAAAGGTAAAAAGCCTGTAACAGCTTATAACATCATAAAATGAATCCCCATCTTTCATGTTTTGAGCTTTCAAAATGCTCTTAGTTCTCTTAATTCCTAGACCTAGAGGGATATTAGCCCCTGGTCATTGTGAGGCTCCCTATTGAGTTTACTGCACATTTTTTATTGAGAATACTTGCACAAGTCCAACTCTATAATTATAGAGTATAACCAATGATCCTTGAGGTCATCATCCGATTCATCCCATCCAACATAACCTTGTGGACTTGTGGTATAGTGGTCTATGGTCATAAGACATAAGTTGGTAGTGTCATTTGTTAAGTCACTCGAAAGAGCAACAGACAACCCAAATATAAGCTATCCTCTTGAAATGCACCCATATCCAAAATTTAGTCCCTAAACCCAAGCAGCAAAATTTTAAATTGTTTACTCCTCACAAAGGGAGCACCAAACCCCAATGCATCAGTTTTGTTATTCTAAAACAATTCCAAATGAAGCTCCGAGACAAAAGGTATAACCTCCAAATCCTCCAATAACTAGGAATACTTATACTTTATTGCACCAAAAATTCATGAAGATGAAGCATTTATCCATATTGGACACATTTCATATAGAAAACTCATTCGAAAACTTAGAGGATACCCTTTTTAAGATTATAGATAGACCCTTACCTCTAGATTATAGATACACATTTCACCTTTGATTTTCACCTATCACTCTTGCAATTACAATTATCTTAATTCTAACTTTCTAAATTACACCATCTAATTAGAAATTTACTATAGACTACTTAATACTCATCAAGGTAGTAATTGATATCAAAATTAAACGGGAAGAACCATTAATTCAAACATTTAAGCAAAATAATCAAATTGATATGCAAATTCATCCTTCAACTATATAGACTATATCATAAATTAAGTATTTAACTACCATATATATACATACCAATTCTTCCAATAAGAGAACTTACTTGTACATAACATCAAACATTTCATCAACCAATTTCTTCAAATTATCATCAAACTTATCAATTGGCTTGTTCTTGGCTCTAAGCTTTGGGTTTGGATATTCAACTATTTTCAGTGGTGACTCAAACTGCAAATCAATACCTATATTCAAAACCCACAAAAAATTACAAATAAATAACACAAAGAAAACCCACAAATTAACAAATAAATTACCCAAAAAAAAGGAAGAAACCCCACAAAAATTAAGAAATAGAAGAAAGAATTGAAATAGAAAATTGAGGCATACTTGAAGCGAAGTCGTTTTGTTTGGTGGGGAAGCTTCTTTTTGCCATGGCAAGAACTTTGGTAGTGTTAGTGGAGTGAAGTGTAAGAGGTGAGTTAGAAGGATGAAGAAGAGTGAAGGAAGAAGTGGGGAGAGGGAGAAGAGATGAAGGAGAGGATAGAGAATGTTGTGTCCATGAATGTGGATGATGCTGAAGGAGTTTGGTTGAGCAATGCATTTTATTTTGGTGCTTATTTTAAAATTTTTAAGTTCATGACTTGGTATGGTATTTAAATGTGTGACTAGTAAACCACCTATAAAAGGTGATAGCAATCTCAAAAATTGAAAGATGATTCATGTTAAAATGTATGATTGGTAAATGTAATTAACAAATACCATCAACTAAATTGATCAAACTGTAAAGGGGCAATTATATTCTTACTTATCCCACTTCATCCAACTTTATCTTTCTCTCTCCTAAGTCATGTAAGCGATGTAGCCACTAGTCCACTACCTTAGCAACCTAGAATGTCGTCGGCGACCACAACCACCATAGCAAGTTAGCAACCAAGAACCATGTCGATAACCATTGTGCTGCCTGATGTGGGAGCTGAAAAATGGATGGTAACGCAACTAACACGTTGGGGACCCAAACGCAAACTTAGGCATTGGCCTTCCAAGAGGGTACGAGAATGTTTTTTCTCATTCAACTTAGCCACCAACGATACAACCCATGACATGAAACCCACCCATGACCACAAATGAATCCAACCTAAAAATGGTAGGTGTTTGCATGCCTTACTCCGTTGATTTCCTCAACCTCCATTGTTGAAGAATTCAAGCTCCATTGTTGACGATTGACTTTATGAGAGAGGTAACGTCCAGGTAATGCCTTCCAAGCCAAAAAATATATGTAAATGACGATTGCATCACAATTGAAGTGTGCAAAAAGACTGGAATATCCCCCGTAGAAAACAGAATTTGTTTCTCAGGTTGAAAAGCTTGTATCTTCTTGAAATAAGCCAAAAAAATATATGTAAATGACGATTTCATCACAAGTGAAGTGTGCAAAAAGAATGGAATATCCTCCGTAGAAACAAAATTTGTTTCTCAGGTTGAAAAACTTGTATCTTCTTGAAATGGGGCTGCCTGGTTCTTCATATTGAGATTTTTTTTTTGGTTCTTTAGTGGTAATAATTAACCCCAAATGGTAAGTGTTTGTCATTTGCTTGTGAGTTTTCCTTCTCCATTGATTTCCTCGAACCCCATAATTGCAAAATTGAGAGTTTCATCAATTTTCCAAAATGTTGCGGATCTACTATAGCCAATAATAGATCAATTTACTATCTCATACCAAATTGATGAAATTAAATAACATAAATAGCTCTTTTTGTCACGTGAAAAGACCAACTTGCCCTTTTAAGACGCTTTCAATGTTTCTCACATTGAAAAACTTGTATTTCCTCAAAAAAAAATACCTAACTGCCCCTAATATATCACATCTCATTTGTGAACAAGAAAAAAAAAACGGATGAACTTCTAAAATCTAAGTCCCCTACCTCCTGCTGCTCCTCTATCTCTATCAGTTCTCCATTGAAGCGCCTTCTGATACTTGTATCTCCCATTGAAGCAGCTTCTGAGGTGATTTGTTGTTTCTTTCCCTAAAATTATTTATGAGCCTTATTTGATTATTGAATCAAATTCGGTTGCTAATGTGTTGCAAAACCCTTTACTGTTAGAATTCAACTATTAAATTAGACCTCTTCTACCTAGAATCAGGGATGGGACTGATTATCAGGGAATAGGGTAAACTATATGACCTTGAACTTTAAAATTTAGTGAATTGCAAAATTTGTACATACCACATTTTACTAAAAAAACTGTACATGTGATTGTCTTACAAAAAAGTCAAAACAGGAAAAAAAATTCAGGCCTTGTTTGGTTGACAAAATAAAATAGGGGAAGTGAAAATTCATGGGATTTGATAAATTGAGAAGTTGTTTGGTTGACACAAAAAGCCAAAAATGGGGGAAGTGGAAATTCATGGGAATTTCAACTTCCCATAAAACAAGGGAAGTAAATTACCTAGCCCCCCCCCCCCTAGGTTAATCAAAATTCATGGGATTTCCAAATTCCTACATTGCCAACTAAACAAATTTAGGAAATTCCTAGGAATTTCATGAGGGAAATAACTTCCCATAAAATGTAATTTCCTACGGGAATTTAATTCTCATGTCAGCCAAACAAGGCCTCAGTTTTAAAGGGAGTATAATTCAACAATGTTTCCTAAAGTGCTTCAATTACTTATTGGTGGAAATACTTAGTCCAAGTGGACCACATTATGAAGTGATACATTAGTAATTAAGTATGTCGTTTATGATCTAAGGACTTTAGAAATTTTGATTAGATAGATGTTGCATCTAAAATGAATGTTTTGAGCACTAAATATTGTGAAATAAACTTTTCAGTCTTAATTTTTCTCTATGATAATTGATTGGTGTACTTGGGTCATGCATCTGTTTAAATGACCGCAAATCCTTGGGTCGAGTCATGTGTACTAGGTGGATCATCTGGTGGCTCAGCTGCAGCCGTTTCTGTAAGGCAATGTGTGGTGTCTCTTGGAAGTGACACGGGTGGTAGTGTGAGACAGCCGCATCTTTTTGTGGGGTTGTTGGATTGAAGCCAACATATGGGCGTGTCTCAAGATATGGACTTGTGGCTTATGCATCATCATTGGATGCTATAGGCTGCTTTGGTACATCGGTTGCTGACGCGGGGATTCTTCTTCAAGCAATTTCTGGGCATGATAGATTTGATTCTACAAGTAGAATGCGAGTAATCATTCATAAATCATTTTTTACTTCGTAAGCAAAGGATCACAGTTCCTCCACCTACATATTGCTATACAGAAAGTGTTTAGCAAATATGTGGGTTGGATACTCAAATTTGTCTTTTCATGCTCATTAGTTATTGAGATGTAATAATTAAATTCATTTACTTGTGTAAAATGACTGATTGTAGTTTTTACTTGTGCACCGATCTTGCCTGTTCCAATAATATTGTCAATTTAAAACATATTCTAAACAAATCAATTGCCCTGTTTAGTGAACTTTTCAATCTCTCTGTTTTCTACAGTTGGAACCCAAAAACAAGTTAATCTTGTTACTGTTATTGAGCATAATTTTTAGAAACATGTGTGCTCAATTCATGCTGTAGATTTGTTGCATTCTCAGCTTTGGCATACTGTACTTTCCAGGAAGTTCCAGAATTCATATCAAAATTCACTTCTTCAAATATCCTGGAGTCCAGGCCACTCTAAGGACTCAGAGTTGGTATAATTCGTGACACTCTTGAAGACGGTGTTGATGCAAATGTGGTGTCTTCAATTCGTGAAGCCGCTTTACATCTGGAAGACCTTGGTTGTTCTGTGACAAAAGTAGTTTCCATTCTTTGATATGCCTACTGATTTTTTGATTTAGGCTGACTGTCTAAATTAACATAACCTTGTGTTTGTTCTTTTTTGCAGGTGTCACTGCCTTCTTTTTCCCTTGGGCTTCCAGCTTACTATGTGTTTTGGGTCCAAAATAACTCTCTATTGGGCCTAGTCCACAAATGATTCAATACAAAGCCCAAAGGCAAGGTCCAACTCTCCAGCCCAATGCTAATTAAGACAATCAACGGTCCGATCCAAGTGACAAGCCCATTTGACTTCAAGGGCCCAAATCCACCAATTAAATCCATCAATTAAGCAAAGGTATAAAAGCCAAACTTATTCCATTTTACATTCATCCACAATCAGCCTTAAGCACAAAATCTTTTGCATAGCATATTCTCTCTCTTTTAAACACCGTACTGACTTCGGCATTGGAGGGGCCTTCCTCGGCACAACTCCCGAGGCCAGTTTACGTGTTCTTTGTTGTGTAGGAAATCCTCGGCTCCAGCATCCTTTGGACCGAGACCAGTCTTCTCCACCTCAAAAGGGTCTGCCGAAGGCCCAATTGTTTTTATCCGAAACAATTTGGCGTCGTCTGTGGGGATAGATACAAAAAGTCAAGCAAAAAATCCTTCACTCCTAGCGAAAAACATGACTAAGAGTGGCAAAAGCGCCAAGAGTGCTAGAAAGAGGAAGGAAAAGGACCTGATCACGGTGAGGGAACATCAACCGGTTTCACCGTCGCCGAAGCCATCGTCTCCTTCCTCAAGAGCTCCCAATTCTCAGAGAAAGGAAGCTTCAAGGGAATCATCCTCGCACCAAACTCGACAGCCAACGGTTTCACCTAAGCCGAGTGGGTCAAATGCGAGGAGTCCCCCACCAAACAGCAGCCTGCGTTCTTGGTCCCAGCCGAAAGAAACCCCTCTATCGGGGCCTTCTACGGAAGAAGTGGCAAGGGCCGTGGAGGTCTGCATGGAGTTCCTTAAGGCCCAAGGGGGTCAACTCCAACCAACACCTCATGAGTCTCCATCTCAATAGCCGAGACACCTGAGAAGGAGAATCGGTCAAGAGAAGGATGGATAAGCTCCATCCTACAAGGAGCTAAGGAAGAAATGGCAGGAGAACACATGGAACTCCAGTAAGGAAAGGAAGAAGAACCCTTACTTCTTCGACCATTCTAAAACTCGGGACTCAATGAGTTTCCGGAGTAGCAATATTACCTCCACATTCAAGGAGGAGTCTGCTTGCATAAATGTTCATGAACGCTTAGGCTCAAGGGAGGTGGACGTGCACAACCGCCTCACCTTCCCAAAAAAGACGGGTCCTACTCTGAATTGTCTCGTCTAGGGACGAAAACCACTTCCACATCTCTAAGAGGGAGAAGCGAGGTCCCTTCAGCCAAGCAAAGAGGGAAGGCCATCATGGTCCCTACAAGCTCTCCCTTCCAGAGTTGGATACTTAGAAGAGCATGTGCCGACAGTGAAAATAAAGGCGCACATTACTTACGATGGCACCTTGGACCCAAAGGATCACATTGCCTCTTATGATGGACACATGTATCTTAACCTCAGGTCCGAGGCTACCTAGTGCAAGTACTTTCCAACAACCCTTAAAGGTGTTGCACAATCGTGGATCACCAAAGGGGTAAAAGAAGCCTTTATCTCTGGTTGGAAAGACCTTTCCAACAAATTCAAGAGCAAATTTTCTACGGCTAACCGCCGGGAAAAGACAATTGCAGAGCTGATGAGTCTGCAGCAAGCCGAAGGTGAAAGCCTCCGCGATTATCTGACTCGCTTTAGCAATGAGTCATCTAGAATTACGAGTTTGGATCAAGGCCTTGCCGTATTTGCACTATGGAACGGTCTGCAAGCTGGAAAGTTCCTGGACTTCATGGTTATGCATCCCCCGCAGACTTTGGAGGAAGCTTTGGATGCCTCGGATAAATTTATCCGAGCCGAAGAGTGGAACAAGTCGAAATCTCAGTCCCAATCAGGGGCTGGGAAAGCTAAAGGACAGCTGTCCGAGGGCCCGGCGCCGAGGAAAGGG